GTAAATCAGAGGAACTATTACAGTACATGCTCTGTACAATACAGCACCACTACTGAAAATGGCTCGGGGTTTTGTAATCCAAGGTTCCGATTTAAAGCAAAAATAGGTGGCATAGGCTGCAACGGCAAAGAAGTGTCCAATTAAAACTAGAGGATTAGGAGACAATCTGTAATAGGAAAAAATACAGACATATATTAGTGAGGCCCAGAAGTTAAACCCGACTCATAAAGAGGTTCCAGTTGTATCATCTATAAAGGTAAATGCACACTCTGCATCCTAGAGGACTTTACAAGCGTGTGTCTGCCTGCTAAGAGGCAAATAATTTTTTTCTTACAAGAAATTAGACTTTATCCTTGTCAGAGAAGCCAGTAACTTCTCACTTATATAAACTGTATATTGTGAGCTGTTTTCTTTTACTAAATCTTGAGATCCCAGTCTGAAGCAGCCTGGCCTGTTGAGTCTAGATTTGTCAAAAGATACCAGTGTTGACATTCAGACTGCAGATGAGGAGAAAAATCTTAAAGAATTTCATTCGCAGACTTTGCAAGAATAACGTTTCATCTGCCTGCACCGTCAGATTCTTGTCACTGAGTCTCATATCAGTCGAATTAAATTTTAAATATAAACTTCTCTATTATTCATGGGTCCCACAGATCAGATGATGTGGATAAACCTACAGGCAAAAAACAAGCTTCCATGCTGATTGAGGATTTTTAGCCTCACCTATTGCCAACTTAGAATTAACACTGTTTCCTGGTAGTAAAATGCAGGACTAAAAATATTGCCTTCTTCCTTTCTCTGGACCAGGTTTTCATTGGGGTACTAATGGATAATAAAATGACAAAATGCATAAGGAGGAGAGATTTGCAGTAACTCATAAACTGTACAGTCCTAAGAAAACGTGGAATGTTTGTTTCCGCTGTGTCATCAAAAACAACTTACACAGAAAGCAGCCCAACTGGACCAGCAACACATTTTCCACCAAGTTTGAAATAAAAAAAACAGGCTCTCCTTAGTTGCTGTAGGGAATCTAAAATGAAATTTAAAAATTACTCTCAATCAAAATAGTCACACATTTATGTTGGGTGCTAATGACATGTCAGAAAAAATGAAGATGCAACACATATCACACCTTACAGATAATTTCTAAAACATCCTGGCATTTCAACAACCCAAGATTTCTTTTAAATTTCATAATTAACATTACACATAGTAATTTAAGTATGAATAAATTTTTTCCTGCTAGGAAATAATTACTAAACACATAGGTCTCAGAAGTTAGAGTTGTTTAAAAGCTATTTCCTTGATTATGCTGTGAAGTCATTAAATGATGTAAAATATTTTGTAAACTGTATCTTATAAAAACAATTCTAGAAACCAAATTCCTAGTCTCTAAGATGCCAAACCCATATCTCTGAGCAGTAAAATATCAAATAAAAAGAATAGCTATGACAGTAAATACTACTAATGCCTGTATCTGTACAGTGTTTTTATTTTTCAATAACTCGTTAAACCCTCACAACATATATAATCAATCAATCAATTTTTTAATAGTATAATTAATCAATATGTCTTCTCAGGTATGCCTAGATTTTTCTTTACAAAAGATAAAAAAGGATACAAATAGGTAAACTTTTATTCCAATTAAAGCTCATTCTTCCTCCAGTGTTTCACAACTTTTTTTATGTTGTTTTGTCAGCAGATTCAAATTCATAATGTAAGAAACTCAAGAGCATGGAAAGAAGAGCTTAAAAAAAAAATCCAAACTTAGTTCTTTTCTTTTTATTTGCCCAACCAGCCATTGTAGCTTTCATGCCAGCGAGCGAGAGACTTGATTGGCAAATCACAACCAGTGAGTTGTTTTTTCCTTTTAGCAACAATGCTGGTTAGAGAGGCTGCAGAAACACTGGAACTAGATCATCTTTTGTCATCAGATGACCAGTGCATGGATCACTAGGGCCTCGGCCAGGTCACAGAAATAGCTTTGTTGTAAATATCTGAAGTAAGGGGATTCGAGTTACATTTATTCTTGAAAACCTAAAGGCGTGGTTTCACTGACCTACTATTAGCTAATTTGTACATGGCCGTGGTGGGGAGATGGCACAGGTGCCTTTTCCTCCATTTCTAACACTGCTTCTGCTCAGCCCTTTTTCTTTAACATACAGGCTTACCAACCCTTCCACCATAGGGCAACAAAAACAAAAGTGTGGGGATATCTCATCTGAGTGAAAGGTGGATGCCTTCAGCTGCTGTGTGTTTTCATAGGAGGTAAAATCTAAGCTTGCTATAAAACTCATATTCATTTTACAAAATACTACTTTGAAAAGAAATTGAAACTAGTGTTGAAGAAGAAAGAGCATAACAACTATATTGCCTTTTAATTCATGGCCAGAAAGACTTCCCATCACAGTCTTACACATGTGGGGATCTGCATGATCTGATCTGGCCCAGAGGAGTTAATTACTGAGGGACTGCTCTTGAGGTTGTCCAAGGGAAGACAGCAGCCTTCCACACAAAGTGGTGGATACATGATGATTAGAAGCTAAAAATTTTGCTGAGGGAGGGAGTTAAAAAGGACTACCAACTTGGAAGTTAGCAAACTCAGGAAACGTTTCTGTTTCTGGCCTAATCGCTAACTTTTTTGTAGATAAGTTCACTTCCTGTACTAAAAGTCTGCAATTCAGTAATGTTCAACTAGAAATAGCTACACTTACCATCTGTGGCAGAAAATAATTCATGAAGAGCCTGAGCAAGGATATTCACAACAAAGGAATGAGACATTTTTCTTGTCCAATAGAATGATTTTTTGGCCTAAAAAAGGAAAAGATCACTTATTATATGGGAAGAGGGAGGGAGGGAGGAAAGACTGATGTTTATAATCCCCTAAACTGATACTTACCCTAAGGACTATCTACAAGTAGTTATGCCTTGTTTATCATTTACATACCAAAAAAAAAAAAAAAATCTCCAGAGCAATGAGTTACATCTCTAAAGCTAAGTGGCCCATGTAATCCAATGTCCCATAATATCCAGATACAGAAATTCTATAAGGGTCATAGGTTACAAGTCAGGTTCTTAAGCCTGAACAAGACTGCCTAAGAATCATTACTAAGGATCCAGCTCCTAGGTACAGATCGCCCCTTCAAAGCCCCATTCCACTTAAGCCCCAGAAATAAATCTATTTTGAGACATTTTTGTGAAAGAATAACTTAGTATCTTACCTGGAAAATGGCTGCATCATCGTAAAGGTCTGGGATGCCCTTTAGCAATTTTCTCCATATTTTTATATCTTTTAAAACAACAGTCATTCCTCCTCCAGTAAGAGGATGCCTCATATTATGTGCATCTCCCAAAAGAAGAACACCTATAAAAAGAGGATTTAGATCATGACATCATCCTGGAGCATCCCTTAAGACCAAAAAAAACGACTCTGTTCATTCATAAACACTGTAAATGTGAGCTAGTATATTAGAACGTGAAAATACAAGGGACTAAATCATGACTAAAATTTGTTCAGATACAAATTCAAGAGTTAATTTAATATTTATTGGGTACCTAATATGTGCCAGACACTGGAGTTACAGTGAGAACTTGGTCAATAAACTTTCATGTGAATCTCAAGTTAAGTCAAGCAATGTCAAAGTATTCATAAGACCTCTTCCATGAATAAACAAAAGGACCTATGTATAGGCAGCCAGGCATAAAAAGCAAGTCTTCTACAAGGGAAAAAAAATCGAGAGGTCTTTGACATTTCATAGCAATATTCGCTTCCCTGTAATTCACAATATTACAGGGAAATGTCTGTACAGTTCTGAGGGAAAGAAAGCAGACCCCAGGAAGATCAGACCCAGCCACACTGTAGTTCAAGTTAAAAGGCAACAATAAAAGAGAATGAAATATTGTCATTTGCAGCAACACAGATGACCCTAGAGATTATCATCTTAAATGAAGTAAGTCAGACAGAGAAAGACAAATGTCCTATTATCACTTACATGTGGTATCTAAGAAAAGACACAAATTTTATTTATAAACCAGAAATAGACTCACGGACATAGAAAACAAACTACGGTTACCAAAGGGAAGAGGTGGGGTATGGTAAAGTATTAGTTTGGGATTAACAGATACACACTACTATATATAAAACAGATAACAACAAGGACCTACTGTACAGCACAGGGAACTATATATATTCAATTTCTTGTAATAAGCTACAATGGAAAAGAATCTGAAAATATATGTGTATGTATAACTGAATTGCTTTGCTGTACACCTGCAACTAACAATGTAAATCAACTACACTTCAACAAAAAATTAAATTAAAAAATTGAAAAGCAATAGGCAGATATTGCAAACCCATCAGAAGTTAATTTAGGAGAATAAGCCTTGATTGAATCCTATCTGAAAATAAGGCCCTGAATCAAGCCTGCAGAAGCAGCTCTGCAGTTTGACTCCTCACCTCCTGCCCGGGCTGCTCACTCTTAACATTCCCAGTCCGTTGTCAGCCTGACTAGTGACCTATGACTTAGAGGGACATTTATTTACACAAAGCATTTATTTCGTCTGTGAGAAAAATAGACAACCGTAGTAACTGTGGTAAGGTGGCAGAATTATGGATACTTTTTTCTATAATGTCACAATATATTACATTTCCAACTAATTATAGAATATAAATTTATAAAAAGGCAGCTTCTAAATATTAATCCAAATTTTTTATGTATCACTCTAACATCTTTCCTACAGACTCTAACCAGCTTTTACTCCTTCTCCATGGACCATTCCCAGTCCCACCAGTTAGCATACGCTCCCACAGCACGCTGTTTGTATCAGCTTGGCATTGGCTCCATTCTGCTGTGCAGTATAGTTTATTCATATGACTGGTAGTTTATGATGCATGTGTTTCTGTAGCAAACTACAGCTGTTTATGTTCAGGAACCATAGTACATCGACAGCTCCTGTTCAGACCTCTTCTCTGGGTTCCACACTCATGTTTTAAATGCGGCTCCGCACAGCTCCACTCAAATGCCCTCCCAGAACTTCACACCCACTAGGTCCAAAAGTGAACTTATCATCTACCCACACTTCCCTAAACCTATACTTTTTCCTACATTTCCAATGTCAGCAAAAAGCTGGCAAAATTATCTAAGCCTGAAACCTAGGCTCCATCAAGAGATCTCTCTCTCTCTTACTACACTCCATCACTGTTTTGTGCATTCTACATCCTAGCTATCACCCAAATCCATTCCCTCTCTTCCATTTTTACTGCCACACCCCAGTTCAGGACTTTCATCACCATCACCTTTCATCCACCAGAGAAACACAAATCAAAATCACAGTGAGGTAACATGTCACACCTACTAGGACGGCTATGAGCAAAAAGACAGGTAACAGATGTTGTAAAGAATGTGAGGAAATCGGAATCCTCGTACGTTGTTAATGGAAATTTAAGAAAGGTCGGCCCCTTTTAAAACAGTTTGGCAGTTACTCAAAGCATTAAACTGAGAGGAACCATAGGATCCTGCAATTCTATTCTTAGGTATATGCTCAAGAAAAACGAAAATAAATGTCCACAAAACAACTCATACACAGGTACGAACCAAAAGTGGGAACAACCCAAATGTCTATCGTCTGATGAATAGTCAAAATGCAGTCTATCCACACATGGGCCATCATTTGGCCATAACAGCAAATGAGGGACTGATACATGTTACAGCATGGATGAACCTCGAGGAAGCCAGTTACAAAGCATCCCACACTGCATGATTCCACTTATAGGAAATATCCAGAATAGGCAAATCTACAGAGACTTTCTAGGCTCATGGTTGCCTGGGGGTTGGGAGGAAATGAGGAGTGACTGCCAATGGGTACAGGATTTCTTTCTGGCCTGATAAAAATGTTCTAAAATTGACTGTGGTGATGGTTGCATAGACTTACGAATATACTCAGAACTAATACACTTTAATTGGGTGAACCATGATTTGTGAATTATAACTCAATAAAGCTATTATAAAAGAACTTTTCAATGACTTTCCATTGTCTATAGGATTAAAACTACCCTTTAAATAAATATCTTACCTTTCTGCCACTCTGACACCTATCCTATGCTCCAGCCATAGGACACTTCTTGAGTTCACTTAAGTGCCATGGCTTCCCAGTCCTCCTGGCTTCTGTAGATGTTCCACCTACTTGGAAGCCCCTAATCACACTGTCCTGTTGAACTCCCACTCATCCTTCATGCCCCAAGTATCCCCAGCTTATTCCCAGAGCAATGTCTTCCCTAATAGCCCTTCCCAGTTCACAAGCTCCCCTCTGCCCTGCACCCCACTTCTCAGTGAATTTGGGACACCACAAGTGGGATTATTACAGCATTTATCAGCAGGGTTCTGAAATCACCTGTCTCTAGCTCTCACTAGAACAGTGCCTTCTCTAAATTAAGAACTGTATTTAATTAACTGTTGTATCTCCAATAACTAGAACAGTGACTTACATAAGCTTAATATTAAATGAGAGATACCACAAAACTACTGTTGGTACTAGTAACGAGTCAGCCCACAACCATCAGTTCTCGGCACCACGTGTTATCCCCTAGGAGTGTCAGCTGAACCACACGCGTCATCTGGCATTTCCCTCACCAGATCAATCCAATAAAACAATACCTCGTTTGTTTGCTGGTGAAGAAGGGAGGAAGCTTGCTGGCATAGATCTCAAACGAGAATTCTGTGCGGCTTCTAGGAACGGTTCTTTCAGGTGGTCTGTAATAAAGCCCGCCCCAACAAATAAATGGTTTTTAACACTCCAGTTTCAAATGATCACATTTTCTTATCAAGCAGAAACAAATACTATAAATCTGTTAATGGTTGTTACATATATTCCTTGTGATAAAATAATTATTTTATTAATAAATTTTTCACTAAGTACCTACTTACTCATGCTAAGGGATGACTAAGGAATCTAGGAGAAAATTAATGTAAGTAGATGCACATTAGAGCTGGATGACCAAAAAAACTAAAGGAAGAGCGAAACAAACCCCGATGAGACAAGACAGGGAGAAAAACCACCCACCTCGCGTCCGAACGTTAACAGGTGCCATAAATTTAACATCTAATTTACTGTCACCACCATATTCTATAATAACAGATGAAATAAACCCCCAGTTCACAAACAGCGGGAGGGCATGCACAGTGGGAAGAGGGTAAGATGTGGAGAGCACTGCCTTTCTGAGCTTCAGTTTCTTCATCTAGAAATGAAATGGTTGGATTAGCTCATCCCTGAGATACTTCCCTGTTTTAAAGTTTTGTGCTTCCACGTGTATAGAAAATGAACTTCCTTTTCATACAATTCCCACTGTAATCCGAGGATACAGGGGCACAGTGCCTATGTGGAAAGTCCTCCCTCCCTACGGTGAGCAGAACTTCTATAACCTGACTAAGAAGAACATAAACCTACAAATGGTCTTCCTCCTGATCACAGGGCAGTCTGCTCCAACTAAGCTCTAGGTTAGGAAAAAAACTACAGTGAAAGGAAACATGCCAAAAATAGTTTCCCTTTGGAGAAGCTAAGTAACCTCTCTGAATCTTTGTTCCCTCATCTGTAAAATGGGGATAATGATAATGCCCACCTCACAGGGTGGTTTTGTAGACTAAATTATGTGTGTAAAGCACCTCTTATATAGTAGACATTCAATAAACAGTAGCTGTCATTTCTACAAGAACCAAGCACAAAAAGTAATTAAGAGAGATTTCAAGAATTCATAGAACTCAGACTGCTATCCAGCCTACCTTAAAAAACACCATATATGCCAACATTAGTAATTATTCAGAAAACTATGCTTCAATTACTACTCTGAAAAAATATAATGAAACTATTTTTTTTACTTGGAGCTTTTTTTATGTACTAGTTTAAATAGTTTATTCAGCTCTAGCGAATCTGATCAGCTAGATGCATTTTTCCCCTGCCATCCTTATCTTCGGCCTAATTTAGACAAAGCTTTAGTGAGAACTGGAGATAAAGAGCCTTCTGTGAGTCTTGCTTGCAGACTGTAGATTACAATGGGAGTGCAATCCTATTTCTTACCAGGTAATTGTGGGTAAATGTTTTCAGTCATGTATTCTCTTAAATTCCTTGGCACATCTCCTTGAATGTCAACAAGCACTCGCGTTTTATTAGGTGAAATCTGGTAGAGGAGAACTGGATTCGAATTCACTAAAATAAGCTCGGCATGATTGGCTTTAAACTGTGGTACATTCTAGAAAAATAAGTAAAATATTTTAATCACTTTCAAATTTCAAGTTGCTTTTATTGTTCTGCAATTGCATTCCTACCTACCTCCATAAGAAAGCCAACAAAATGAGAGGACACAGAAACTTTATTGGGGATCATCAGGTTTTTCCTGAACTTGGAAAAAAGCCCGTCTGCAACAACAGTCAGCGGAGCGTGGAGCTCCTACAACAGAAGCAAAGGCTCACGTCAGCTCAATGTTCAGAAACACAGTGAAAAGGCCATTCCTTTAAAATGTACATGAACAAACTGACATATGATGGGCATTACAGAGGGTACGTGGAGATACTGGTACTGACGGGGCTCTTATGGGGGTGGAAGTTACTGCAGGGCCAGTCTTCAGAGACGTTTCAGAGACGCTTCCTCCTGAGTCCGGGAGGATCACCATCCTTCAAGGCTCTGCCACCCAAACCATCTGGGATTAAGCTACTTTGAGAGACAATGGGGGGAACTACTACAAAAGCAGCACAAGCCATAGAAGACTGAATCTCATTACAAATTCCAAGGACTAACCACATCCTTTTATTCTAGAATTTTCTAACTTCTCATAGTGCTTTCAGTCCTTGGCTAGGGCTCAGAAGAATTTTTGTACACGTGAACGTATGTATTTATATTATCTTGCAATCGCCCCCACTAGAGTGTAATTTCTAGGGGGCAGTGACCCTATGGAGCAGCCCCGAAGAGTCAACAGACAAGCCTTTGACTCTTTCTCCTTTTGCTCAACATGAGCAAATACTGGAAACTGTTTTATTCTGTTACCTCCCTAGAAATTCTCTTTCTTATTTAAACAATAGTTCATTTTATCCTAATCATTTCTTTTATGCTGAATCCTTCCTTTTTGCATCTTCCAGTTCCCCTCTGCATCTCTGTTAGGATACACTTCTCATTTCAGTTTTTAATAGCTAACATCACGGTGTTTGTTTCCAAAGTTACTTATACAGCATTCTGAGGTGCTCCAAAGAACAATGTGCTGCAATCTGTCACAGAAGGCTTACAGAGATCTCAGCCCATTTGATTAATAATAAATCAGTAAGCCTAGTTTTTTAAAGGAATAGTAGAAAAAGAAAAAAAATCTTAGGAAAAACTGGTATTTGATATATCTCACCTTAGTATCTCCAGTTTCTTTATCTCTGTACTGAACTCCTATCACAGCATCATCTTCTTCTATTAACTGTAGCACAACGCCTTCAATAAACTTTGTACTGAAAGATAAATAGAGATAAATTCTCTAGTAGCGCAACTGAACAATTTAAATAAGGAATGAAAAATTTCCTTTTTTCCTCATCTCCAGTTTACCCGCATAAACTGGACACACATGTACATAGAAAAAGGTCTGAATGACAAAAAGCAAAAACATTATTAATGGGTTTTAGAATTATGTGTGGTTTTTATTTTCTAATTTCTTAAAACTGAATACATAATACTAAATGTAATGATTTTTAACAGCATTTTAAAAAGTAACATGGGATTTTTATCTGAATTCATTAAAAAAAAAAATACACACAGAAAAACATTACATAACCACACAAATCAGATACAGATTTGGAGGTTAGCCACCAAATTATTCAGAGTAGTTAGTTCTAGTCAGAAGGATCGTGGCTAATTTTTACAATTTTCTTTATATTTCTGAATATCTTTCCATTTTCTATAATGAACATATTCTACTTCCACAGATATCAAGTCCTTTCAGTTCTAGCAACAATCCACTTACTTCACTTGCTTTATCAACACTTAAGCCTTTGCCAGTGACATGACGGTTCTCATGTTTAAAACTTCCTTAACTATAGTATATAAGGCTAGAGGCAAATATAAGTTAGTAATTGAGAGAAGAAGCCCTTTAAAAATTGTGAATCACTATATTGTACACCTGTAACTTATAAAATACTATACATCAACTACAACTGAAAAAAAAAAAAGCCAGTCCTATCAGCTAGGTCCTTAGTATGAATGGAAGAGGGATATTCTCTTAAAGTCCTCTGTCCTGACTTTTAATAGAAAGCGCCATGACAACAAACCCCAGCTCCCAAATGGGCACACGTGTACTTAAATCTTAATCATAACAACTACACCCTCTAAATTCTAACCACATAAAAAAATCACACCACTGATTTAGTCAAAGGAAAATTCTCAATTGTTCTGTCATTCAAAGGAAAATTATCTATATGATATTCTTAAAGGCACTGAAAATCTACCATTCTTTGAACTTAGGTATTAGTGTAATAGCTAGGTTCTGGCCCATACCCAAACACTTACGAAAATTTGTAAAACAGTATTTGTACAAAGGCCAAGTTTAAATGTGCTTCTTCGACATACATGAGAAGCTGTAGTCTTACTTGGGTTCTGCCATAGCTGCTTTCCGGAGATTCATGATGAATCTTCCATGATGGAAAGCTCTTCCACTCTGCACGTGATTGTCTTCTGCCAAAGGGAAAGGAATCTGAACCTCTGATTTGTTTTCCAGATCATGAATTATGTAGCCACTTACAACCTGGGCGTCAATACCTTCCACTGTATCTGCAAAACAATTCAGTTCAAAAAAAAAATCAATCCTGTAATACGCCCAGACTTATAGCAGGTACCAAGAGGACACGGAAGCACTGCATGTGAGCTTCTATCTTCATCCAGCTAGACTGGACAATAATACTGTTTCAGAAATCCTAATGCTTCTGGGAGACAACAGCCTCAGCAAATCTGTAATACCACAAAAGATTAATATTTATATATAAACTTTACTCATTAAAATCCATAGGAAAAATATTAAGATCCTAAAAATAATGGGCAAAAAAGTATATGGATGATTCATATTAAGCAACAGAAACATTGAACATATCAGGGAAACTGTTCAAACTTGATAAAAAAAAATAAATGCAGTAAAACTGAAACAGTAAGACACCAAATCTATCAAAACTGCTGGTGAGGTGATAAAATGCATCAATTTATGTATTACTGGTCATATTGTAAACTAGTATTTTAGAAAGTAAATACAGCAATAATTATCAAGAACCATAAAGAAGGCAGCATCTTTTGATGTGATAATCATTGTCTTGGAATCCATCTAAGATATTCATCCTAAAGATGTAATTCTCATTTTTAATAATAAAAGCTATATGCAAAAATAAGTTCACTACTGTGTCACCTCTAATAAAGAATAACTGTAAATAACCTAAATGTTCATCTAAGTTAGAAAAGTGAAGTATATTATTATCAATTGAGAAAATGCTATGCATGGGTTTAAAATTACAATGATGAAGAATGGTTAAGAGTACTGGAAATATGTTTATGTTAAGTGAAAAAGTGGACTTTAACATATCAAAATAGTCATATAATACATACTTAGATACATTAAAATAAGATATATTAAGATGAAGGACATTAAAATAATTTCATTTCTGGGGGGCTGGGTATAGCTCAGTGGTAGAGCACAATACTTAGTGCGCGTGAGGTCCTGGGTTCAATCCCCAGTACCTCCATTAAAAAATAATAAAAATAATTTCATTTCTGATGAAAGGAAAACTTTATAATAGTTTTATCACATGTCTATGCTACAATCAAAATAAATTAGGTTTCTGATATGCTTTTTAATTACACTTAGAATACAGTCAGAGACCAGCTGAATGAATATTTAATCACACATCTAACGTAAGATCAAAGTAAGTCAGTTTTTTGGTATGGTTTCTTCATTATCCTAGTTAAAATTCAGTCAAAGAAAAGTACACTGACATCCTAAAAGCTGCCAATTAGCAGTGCATTCAGTTTGGAACTCGGCAAACTGCCAATCTTTACTGGCCTAAATGTTTGAAGCCCATCTAGTATTTCTACTTTTGTATTTGTATTTTCTATTTGTCTAGCTACTGAGACAAGCTTGTTTTTCTTAATCCACAATTGTATCATGGAAGAACTTTAAATGCTAAAATCGGCCAATTTAGAACACACCAGAAAATGTAAAAAGTATACAATGGTAGCAGAGTAAAATTTTCCCTTGGGTAAATTATCTTCAGACAAGTATACAAATAAGGTCTAATTTAAGATTCCTTGAAACAATCCTCTCTCTCTCTCCCTCCCTTCCTCCCTCCCTCGCAACTGTATTGATGAAATCATCTATGACAGACTTTGGCTCTTACTTTCTTAAGCAGACAGGAAGATGATGCCCTAAACCTCAATGAAATTCATGCTTCACAAATACTAGACAGTTAATAACTCTGAAGACAGTGACATGACTTAGGGGTGTCACTATCAATCATGAAATTCCAATATTAGACTACTGGTCAACATATCAGATTTAACTGACATGGAAAACACTCTTCCACATTAAAAATTGAAAAGGTGCTTTTATAAAAAGGTAAGCTAAAAAAAATTAAAATTAAAAAAATTTTTAAAAAAACAATCCCAATACCTCCATTTTAAAAAAAGGCAAGTTAAAAACAAAAACAACAAAGAAACAAAAACCAAAAACCTGTATAAGCTAAAAAAAAAAAAGCAATTTCAAAGTCAAACCAGTGAGCAAGCTTTAAAAGAAATAGCATAAGGATACCAGACTCACAAGCCTGAAGGCTAGAGTTTTAAGCCACTCCTGGATAGGAGGTAAGGGGGCCCTGACATGTGAGGGATGCTGGAACTGAGAACCATACGTACCTTTCTTGTCAATATACTAGAAACCAGAAAAACCTCAATTCAACGCCCTGAGGCATGGCATGGAAGTAAGCCATCTACCTCTGGGTGGAGCCACCCTTAAGAAATCCAAACATAACTTTGTGCCGTGACCTGGTATGAAGTCTGAACCTCATAATGTGTTTACAGTACATTATGAAATGGGTACATTTATGAAAGTCCAAATAGAAACCAGAGTCAAGGAATAAATAAAACAAAAGACAGACAAGATTTATGACACTTAATTCAATTACATTTAAGGCTTAACTGAATGGAGAACACACTTCATGCACAGACAGGAAGTTCAAGTCAATTTTTCTAAAACTGAGCTATACATTTAGCACTATTTCAGTTACAATCTTGATAGGGTTTGTTTTCACGGAAATCAAAATCTAATTCTAAATTATATACAGAAAAGCAAAATGGCCAAGAAAAGCCAAGATAATCCTAAAGAAAATGAGGTGGGGAAGAAGTTCCCCACTAGGTATCGACACCACAAAGACACAGCATTTAAATTATAATATGTTAATTTTAAGAGTTCTAGATATTAAGCTTAAGCCAAAAGGCAATCAATTCACGTATTAAAAACCCACACTCCAGGACAGGTCAGTTGGTATTATATTAAAAGTGTACACTCCAAAAAGTCACTATTTCAAGGGCTTCTGTTCTCCATCTCACCACACCCGAGGGGGAGCAGACAGCATAATGAACGTTCAAAAGGACTCCTAATTATGATAATAAAGGTATGCATGCCATTTTAGCCAAGTGGACTGGCTACAATGCCTCAGCTGCTCTCCTCACATCTTGCATGAACTACATCTAAGACTTGTTGCCACAGCCTTGGAGATGTCCCCTAAGCCTAGATTTCTAAACGCTTCTACATCCAGTCATTAGTCCATTAGTTGGAGGGCATTTCCAGTTGCCTGATGTTCAACGACAAAGGGAACAAAGGCCTGTCTCCTGATACCCTCACACCTGCTGCCAGGAACCTCTGATGGGAAGTGGTGGCTGGGAACTTAGAAGGACAGAGATGGGACCTCCCTTCTTCTAAAGCACCGCTTCACTTGGAGCAGGGTGCTGCAGTCTTTGCTTTTCTTCCTCACATGCTCCTTCTCAGTCCTTTTTTGGCTCCTGCTCACCTCACTGGTCTCCGTACATCAGAGCGCCCCAGAGGCTGTCCTGGGCCTCTTCTTGGCAATGTCTTGTCTCATTTAGATAGTAGGACTCCGCTCTTTCTCTCACACCCGATCCATCAGCAAGTCCTGCCTTCCAAATATGTTCCCAGAATGTGACCGCTTCCCCCACCTTTACTGATGTCAACCCTGTTTCAAGCCATCACCTCTCACTGCTTCTGCAGTAACCTCCTAGCAGGTCTCCCTGTTTCTGACTTGCTGCTTGATGATCTCTTCTTTTCTCTTCACAATAACAAGGACATTTTAAAATGGTATTTCTATATATCTATGTATGTATATACATGACTGGGACATTGTACACCAGAAATTGACATATTGTAATTGACTGTACTTCAATTAAAAAATTAAAATAATATTTCTAATCATATTTCTAAAATGTGAAATTTAATGAGTCCTCTTCTGACGATTCTTCAGTGGCTTCCCTTTGGAGTAAAAGCCAAATCCGTATGATGGGCTACCATGGAATCCAGCCCCCATTATCCATCTGACCTTTTCGCTAACTTGCACCGCTCCAGTCAACACGATTCTTCCCGCTTACTCTCCAAAGAGGCCAGGCTCACTTCTTCCACCAGGCTTTTCCCCTTGATACACTCTCTGCCCGGAGAGATACACTTTTCACCCAGATACCCCTGGAGCTGCTTCCTCACCTCCCTCAAATGTCATCTTCTCAGTCAGACTTTCCCTTCCCCCAAGAGTAGTTTTCTAGTCTCAAATTTTATCTCCTACTCACTTTAGTCTCTGTTTTGACTCCACTGAAACATGTTGTCAATGTCACACAACCTCCAAATGGCCAAATGCAATGGCCCTTTCTCTAGACTCATCCTACCTGACCCTTCATTACTTCATTAGCAAACCATCACAGCACTCCTCTCCTTTCTTGACATGGACCCATTCCCTCCTACTAGAAACATTTTCCTCTCTTGGATCAAGTGCCACCCAACTCTTCCGGCTCTCTTCTGCCATTCTGCCAGCTCCATCTCAGTCTCTTTTGCAGGCTTCTCTTCTACCCAATCTTTAAATGTCAGTTTCCCAGGACGGTTTATTCTGTCTTCTCTTTTTGCTCCCTGCAAACTCTGCTTAGATGGTCTCAAATCATTGCTGTGGCTTTTAAGTACTACAAATATGCTAACATTTCTGAAACATCTAACTCCAGCCAGCTCAAACCACTCCTCTGCACTCTGGATCAGCACTCTGGATCAACTTAACATCTTCACTTGGCTATCTCAGTAGGTCCCCCAAGTTCCCCCCAAATGCCTCTTCATCCTCTTATCAGCAAATGGTACCACCATCTACCAGCTGTTCAAATCAAAACCTAGGAATCTTTTTTAAGATCGCCTCTTCCTCATATCTCACGCTGATCCTTTAGTAAGTCATGCCATTCCTGCCTCTTAATTTTCTCAAGACTCTGTCCGCTTCTCTTTAACCCTCCGCTACCATGCTGGTCAAAAACACCATCAACTGTCAGTTGGACTTAGCAATGAGATCCCACTAGACTCCCTGCATCAACTCTTGCTACCCACCCCCAACCCCACCACAACCTTATAGTTTATTCACCACACAATATCCACATATTCTCTTAAGACAGCATTCATAAACTGCAGGGTGACTCAATGGTAAATTGTGAAATGAATTTTGAGTATGAATTGTATACTTGGGTAAAAGCATAATCAGTATTTAAAAAGTAAAATAAATTTCAGTCAGATTTATGTATGTATATAGGTCCTGATCAGGATATAAGATGCGTCTGTCATTGTAAATATCTGTAAAAGGTTTGAGGCCTTTACAGAGGCGTCAAGAGGACAGGCTCCACCGCCTACAAGGTCCTGCATTACCTGGCAGCTGCCTACCTCCCCAGCCTGAATTTCAAGTTTCTCCTTTCCCCATTACCCAACACTTTCTTGCTACATTGGCCTCCTTTTCAGTTTGCTGAATAAAAAGGATTATTATCTATGAGACAAGGACTCTTAAGTGTTTGTCCATTTTACAGATGAGGAAACTAATACACAGGAGATTAAGTAACTTAGCCAAGGCTTTTTAAATGCCTCAGGTGGTACTTAAATCCTAAACTGCTTCAAATCCAAGCAACCTAGTGCCAGAATCAACACTGGTAATTACTACACCATACTGCCTTACCCCATATACCAAGCAAGCTCTTTCTCAATTCACAGCCTGGGTCTATTTTGTACTCTGATCCTCAAGAACAGACAGTTGATCAGTCTTGTTCACCAGTATATTCTTGGTACCCAGTAGAGCACAACATACTGAGATCAGCTGTGACCTGGGAACTTTTGCTGCAGTGCTTGCAACTGGACAAATATCTCCTTGAGCAACAGAACACAAGGAAACTATAAGGGACTAAAAATAACTGCATTCAGGCACAGATTATGAACAATAAGACAAAAAAAAGACCAAAAACCCAAATGTCACTTCCGAGGTGTCAGGAGCAAAAGCAGGGTAATGTGCGAGATCCCTGCACACAGCCTCACAGGGCAGGGGGTGGGGGGGACCACCTAAGCCACCCCTCTGGCCCCACCCCATTTAAGGGACCAGCTCACCCCCACTCAGAGAAGTCTTCCCCCTCAGAGAGTGAGCAAGGGAAACTGTTACTTGTTCTCGCTCCCTCGTGCTACAGCATGGGTCCCAATAAAGCCTTGATTGAATTTCTTGTCTGGCCTCTTATCAATTTCTATTGATTTAGGAGTCCAGGAACTCTGGTTAGTAAAAATATAAAGCATACAGTGAATAAATATTTCCTAAGTGAAGAGTATTTAAAAAGCATTGGTTTAATGGATAAATGATGATTAAATATAAGCGTATTTTCTACTGGTACATAATATTCACCTGTAGTTCCCTTCACCTTTTGCTAAATTTCATGCCCTCCTTCTAGTTTTCCAGTCCTTAATTTTGACCATTACAATTTTTCAGCCACTTCATTGTATCTCACTAAGGCTACTTCTGTCAACTCATACTAAGTGCTTTATTTTCTCCTTCGCTCTCATCTGCAGGCAAATTTGCTGGTAAATGAGTATAGTAACTTTTACACATGAAAATAAAATGAAATACCTTTTTACCAGCCACAGGATAGTCTAATGTGAAGAGTGTTTGCTTATACCACATAACTGGTAAAAATCAGTATGAACTTACCTTCAAGACCAAGGTCTTTAAGGACATTATAACCACCTGGCTGCAGAAATTCTCCAACTATCCTGTCGGGCTCCTTTAAATCTCTCTCAATTACTGTCACCTTTCTTCCATCTCTGGAAAGCACTGCTGCTAAGGCAGAGCCAAGGACTCCAGATCCCACAATGATAACTTCTGGATCATTTTGAGAAGATACCAACGTAGATGCAGCTGCTCCTATTAAGGTTGTTTCTGAAATACTGGTTCCTTTTTTGCACTGTTAAAAAAAAAGTGAATTATGTAGCCACATTTGTTATCCTTAAATCATGCTACTACTATAGACACACTGGACTTTTGCACCTTAGGTAAAAACTACACCAGAAACGTTATCAAACCAAATGAACCATTACATTTTAAAACCCAATCAAATATAAAAAGCAATGATACCAAAATATTGCTAAGCAAAAATGTATAATAATATCCTAATAAAATTAAATATATATTCCATCTTCCAAATATACTCTAGAAAATGCTTCACACATTTAGAAATCCATACCAGGCCAAACAGAAAAAATGTTTACAAGGGGCTTCAAAGGCTTATAGGGAAAATTTTATCATTGATTAGTCAATCCTTGAAATATACACTGACCATCTATTGTATGCAAATCATGTACAACTTCTGATATGATTTCATGTTGCAAACTATTTAGCACCTTTTAGATATTTCCACTATTCATCTTTATTTTCTCCCTCTGAATCTTCATCTGAAAAATCTATTTTAATCTAAAATCACTTTTACACAACAAAAAGACTATCAAATCCTGGCTACTGACCTATTAATTGAGAATTATTCAACTTAAAAATTCCAAAAGAACAACTAACTCATTCTGTCCCTTGTGATTCGACCTCTTCACAATTTATTCCTTAACATAGAAGAACATATTTAATTTATCCCTTTTCTCCCCCCATCCTGATACTCTTCAGAGAGCCTGGACAAACTACTGGCCTTCCAGTTTAGGAATAAGGACAAACATTAAACTTATCATAGTTAGGCTGACAGTAAACACCTTAACTTTGATTATAAGATGAAAAGTGCTGTTTTGAGAGATTTCTGCTCATCAAGAGTAACAGTGCCTGTTGGCTTTTTTTTAAATGAATTAATTCAATGTTGTAATAAGTATTTTTTCTTGGCATGTGGATTCACAAATATGAACACATCTCAGATACAGAACTTCAAGGAACCATCTTCACTGAGTTCTCTGACCTTAGCATTAGGGCAAGACTAAATGCCACTGTGAAGGGGTTTTAATAAAAGACCTCAGGCAAAAAACGAAGGAGATAAAACCCAAAATCCTTTAGAATTTTAATTCTCTGTGATTCTAATATTCATTCAGTCTCTAGAATGGACCAGGGCCTTGTCCATTCTACTTTTTATAATTTCTCTTAGAGAAATTAGCTTTTCACAATTTCCTAATGGCCAGCACAACTGACTATATTTCAATTACTGTTCTGAGAGCAAGAGAATCCCCTTTTGTCATCTTAGCCAATTTTTATTAGATTTTCTCCCTAAGCTTCCCCTGCCGAGTACACACACACACAATCACACACACACAATCCTGGAAGGGGAACTCTGGAGGAAGTTATATCTTTCAGAGCCTTGTCAGTAGATGAAGCACTAATGGGAATTTAGTACTCAATCTACCAACTATCTACTCAGTCTACCAACTCCCTGGTATTTAGGAAACAAGCCGAAAGCCTGAGGCATTCCCAAAGTGGAACCAATATTGACTGCTGGTAATTCAATTTCCTACCCTCAAATTTCCCTACTCCACATGGTGTAATGGCCACCTAGACTAACGACCTCGAGGGACATTCTCAGACACCACCACCAAGGATTTCAAATTGAGAATTAAAGACTTCCTCTCCCTCCTTTCCCATCGCGCCATCCCACACCCACCCAATCACTGAATTCAGCACTCCTGCGACGGTTCCTAACAGATGGAGACTGCCTGTAGACTAATGTGAACAGCTGCTACTTACCAGTTATGAATTAGGCATTTTGCAAACATTAAATTAAGCATTCAATTTCCTAACTACCAGCAAGGCTTGTGCCCTCCTCATCTAACAGAAGAGATACCAGATTTTTTCAGAAACTTAAGCAATTTGCCAAAGCTCCGACAGTCAGAAGGGGTGGAGCAATACTTCTAAACCAAGTTCTCTTCTGTACTCCTTGCAAATCTGTCCTGCAGATACAGTAAAAATGATGTGAATCTAGAACCCCCGAAGAGTGTATTACCTTGTAGGCCACACATCTGAACTTCACGTCACCATCACCCCTTACCTGGCCCACTGCTGTAGTCTCTGCCCCAATCCCCCTGCTCCCACTCTTGTGCTCTTGCAATCCAGTCTCCACACAGTAACTTGAATTCTTTTTACAAAGGAAATATCCAACATCATTACTTCCCTATTTAGAATCCTCCAGTGCTCTTGGGAAAAAGTATAAACACCCATTGCCAAGAGACCCTAAATATTCTGGCCTCAACATAAATTAACTGTAAACATTAATTTTTCATTTGACTACGACACTGATTTACTCAAGGCTCTAAAACACTGAGCATTTTTACTCTACCAGCTTTTTAAATTGTTCTGCTATTTCCCCCAGGCAGTCATCACTTCTTATAAGCAGTGGACTTACCTGAAGCCAGTTTCTTTCTTCGCAGGTTCAAATACAATCCTTACCCAAGGATTTAAATAAAACTTATTTTCATCACAGAAAGTGATTCTGTACTACTGATTCTACCATTTCATCTTTCATAATCAAATCAACATTCATAATCAACTCAATTTCATTTAGCAGTGGCTCCACCAACATTAAATGAAACAAAGGTTTTCAATCATTCCTAAGAGTGTCAAGGATGTAGCCAGTCAAGAACTTTAAAAAAAATACGAAGCATGAGGTGTACTCGAGTATCTAAACGGCTGCCCTTCATCTTTTAAAGAAGAAAATTTACATTTGAGTGACCCCAATGCTAATTTTAATATAAGACATTCATTTGCTTGTTTGAATTCAACCTACCCTCCTAGACCCGAGCTGCTCTTTATTTTCTGATCCAGTGGGGGATTTGGCCCAGAAGAAGCCAATGAAAGGTAAGGCTGACAGAATGTCCGAGAAGACGGCAAACTGGGAACCGCTCTGCCGCCGCCCGGGGAGGGCCCAGCTCCGGGAGCGGCAGCGGTAGGAGAGCACCAGCCCCAGAGAAAAGAACACCAGCATGCACAGCAGGAGCTCCTTGTTGGCCAGAGAGACGAAGTCTCCGCATTTCTTATAAAAATAGGTGAAAGTGGCAATGCCCAGAAAAGTCCACATGGTTTAAAGGCTTCTTCGGTGACTCCGGGTCAATGTTGAGATCCTTCTTTTGGCTGTTGTTCTTGTAGGGTTTTGGTTCTTAGATATTCTCCCCAAAATGTGTTGCCAAACAGCACGAGGAACCAGCCAGAGTCCAGTAAATACCGTCAAAGGATTGCGATACAATCAGACTAATTTACTAAATCATATAAAGTTAGTAGTATAAAAGTATCTGAACAGCGGAAAGTTGTCCAGGATTTAAAAAGCAGTATTTAAAAATCGCCTGCTCCAACAGTTCCCAATCAGACTCTCCTCTCTCAAGCAATCCATCTATCTCCCTTTCTTTGTTTGGGGAGGGGGGTGTCCTGGGGGTTATTGCAGGTGATGTTTTACAATTTTAATGTTGGCTCGTCGTGCTGTGAAAATTGTTCTGTCTCACCCGCTGCAGGTGCCCCTTCAGAAGAACAGGAGGACAAAAAACAAAGAAATATCTTACGCTGGGAAAAATATCTTATATAAAAAAATATCTTAACGCCTCCGACAGTGATAGCGGGCCGGATCGGAAAGCACGAGGGCTGCGGGCGGCGCCGAGTGAGAGTCCCCTCCAGCCCGGGACCTCCGCGCTCAGGGAGTAACCCAGGGGCTGCCTTCTCCCACCAAAGACGGCCTCGGATTCGAGACGGCAGCTCCGGGGCAGGGAAGCGCAGGCCGCACCCCGAGACTTCCTCCTCACCGCGCCTCCCGAAGCACCAGCCCCCGAACCTTCCAGCCGGCGAACGGCAGTTTCCAGAGAGCTCACCCCGACGGCCTCCTCACCAGCCATCCCTCGCCTGGTAGCGGCTGCCGTCCCAGCGCGGTACTTCCGCAGTAACCAGAGTAACCGCCTGGCGCCCTCGCTGTTCGCGGGCCCGAGCACCTCAGCCGCCGTGGTTGGCCCAG